AATAAAAAAAAAAGCATGTAGCTGTTGGGTTCTCTGAAGCTTCTCTTATTTGTTTTGTTGGGGTTTTATTTTAAGATCTCTCCTGCCGTCTTACTTGTGCAGTTTTTGGTTTATTTGTCCGTTGGTCATGGTTGTTTTCATTTGTTGGAGGCATACTATGAGCACATTCAAGTTATAATTCTTTGTTGATATTTTAGTGCCAGAAGTAACCAAATTTGCATCCATCAGCAAACTTTCTTCATGTCAGTTGACGCGTACATGTTCAGTGGTTTGTTTTTGTTTCAAGAATCGGCTTTACAAACTGAATATATGGTACCGTTCTGGAGAAATAATTGCCTGATGACAGCAGAAATTGAATTGTGGGTTTGTCCTTCGAGTTTATTATTTTGGGTGGGGTGAGACTTCTACGCCAAATAGCGTTGCACATTCTGATTTTTCTTCAAGATTTGAACTCTCCAAAATCCAACCATGTAAAGGAAATATCCTGTTCCTTGAGTTTTCTTTTGTTTTTGTGCTCTGTCAAAATTAAATGTTCTGTTTCATCATCTTGCGTCTGTATATTTCATTACATTTTTTCCTCATTTTCATTAAAACGATAAACATGTCTGGGTGAGCTTTTCCTAGGTTCACACAGAACTATTTCTGGTTGTTCTCTCCGCTGCCTTCATGGAGACAGTAGACACAGGCGCCGACACTTTTGATAACATTATCTTTGATACTAAATGAGATGTATAACTTTTGCTCAGAAGAATCTAGAATTTGTAAAATGTGAAATAAATTATTAATTATTGAAAATGGCCAGTAACTTCATTCAAGATTATAGGTATGTCTTTCTGACTACTGGGAAATTACACCCTTTTTTTCTTTAAAGAATGAAAATATGTAAGAAATTGAAATTCCTTGTTCAGTGAATATTAGTTACTTGCTGGGTTTCCCATTGGATGAACAGACTCAAAAGAATCGATTGTTAAGTCATTATGAGATCCGTTCTCGCACTCTTTACTTTGTGAGCAGAAGCCTCACTTGTTTAAAATGTCGTCTTAGAAGATGGGTGTTCCCAAAATTAGACCTAAACGAAACTAATGAAAAACTGAAAATTAAACTACAGTGACTTCAGACCCCCCAGTAAAACTGTGCACCCTTTAAATGATTCTGAACCACCGTTAATTTTTTCCAATTTGCAGTTACAAAGTTTTAGGCAGCCAAAGTGACGGACTTTAACAAATATAATATGTATAGATGACAACTTTATTTTCTATGGCGAAAGAAATGTAGAAAAAACAATAGGGTGTTTGCATAAATTCTGTATGTTGCATCTTTGGCCAGCTGAAATCAGGCTGCTTTCCATACTTTGGTCCTCTTGGGGGGAAGCAAATTCAGTCCGAGTCAGTATTGGAAGTGTGAGTGGAGCACTAGTGCAGTTATATTGGAAACGAGGGGGGGGGGGGGGGGGGGGTAGAGTATTTATAGGCTTGTTTCTTAGTTTATATTATTTTTCTTCTCCAGATTAAAGTGGAAAGGGGTAAAAATGGGTCAAAAGGTATAATGAAATTTGGTCTTTTGCTCTTGATTGAGAGCGAAGCGGAAGAGTTTCCTTTTTGTTTTGATGGGTCTAGTAGTATGGTCTATATTCTTTTGTGGAGGCTCATGGAGATGTGTAAATGTAAATAACACATCATTTATGCCATTGATAATTTATTTACTTACATGCTTTGTAAAGATGCCTTGTCCATTTCCTTGTAAAATATGTGTAAATAGAGTTGTTGGGTCCTGATGGGAAAGGTCTACCCTGGTATAAACATCAGTTGCATAACTGGTACATTCTGTGTTTTGTTGTCTATTTTCACATCTCTTCATTTTCTTCTTTTTTATATGCTTTGATTTTATATGTTGCTGATGCATACTCCAAAAAAAGTGGTCTCATAAATGTGCAGTGTGCTCGATAAAGACCCATGTGGTCATGGCTGTAATGACTCTCGTAACATGTTTTGTGCAAGCTTTAGGAAAATAGTGGTCAGTACTGGGGTATTCTTACTGGATTTCATGCAATGAACCCTGCTTTATATCATTTTGAATGAGGTACTTTGTAAAGTGTGTTCATGTGGGGGGTCATCTGTTTAAGACTAGTTTAGCATAAACTGTCTTTGACAAGAGTTATAATATACAGAATGGCTGATATGCAAAGCCAGTTTAAATCTTTGAGCCCGGAATTATTTTTCACAGACCAGCCCATTGCGCTGGAATTAATTTTCCAAAGAGCGCCTTTTAAGGTAGGGTACCTTATTTAAGTTGACTCTGACTCTGATGCTATATGTGTTCAACAAAGGTATGCATATTTGGTGTTACTGGAAAGGTAATTCAATGAGCTGTATTAATTTATGGTTTGCATTGTGTTTTGTGTAATTATGCAAGAGTAATTATGCAATAAAGGAGGATAATTGAAAAAAGTTTAAAATTCTGATTACTTTGAAGAGTTTATCTATCATACAGCCACCATTATCCTTCAAATGTAGATTAAAACATAACTGTAATGATAAAATACAAATCCATTTTGCAGAAAACTGCACATCAAGATTTTTAACTCAGGTTTTTTTTGCGGTACAATCATTTGAATGAACTGAAATCCATGAAAAATCACAAAGAATCACTTCTCAAATCTTTTTGTACCAGTGAATACAGACTAACCTGCTCTGTTCATAGAATCGAACAGATGATATTATAGATCTTATTGATCAGATATGTACTGCATATGAAGGGAAATGGGTTGTGGTACTTATAAAAGCACTCTGCGGGATGAAGATGGGGTCTGATGGGGCAGGTGCTGCAAGCGAATGCTGTGCACTTGGGAGCTGAGGGTGTGCTACATACTTTGTAGTGGCGATCATCCTTCACACGCATAATGAGATTGTGACCCGGTTTCAGACGATTGAGAGATGTGTCACTGGGGGTCTACCCACTGGTTTTCTGGTGTCGGTGCTAGTGGTGTGTGTTGACACTAGCTGTGCAGCCTTATCCGTCACCTGCAGTAAAAGGGCCTTCTTTTACAATTGAAACGATATATTCCTCGTTTGTTCTTTGGTTAATGGATGGGCTCTTGTGGACTTAATAGGAAAGTGTTGAGAATGGTGCAGTCTAGCACCCAGAAAAAAATCTTCCACCATTTAGTGGGCCGTCGTTTGTGCATGCTGATCTGCACGATCACATCTGTTCATAAACTGGTTGTGCTGGTGGACAACAACAGGCTTCATCACAGCAGCCTTCACTTCCACCTCAAGGGCTGCACAGTTTGTCGGGTGAAACCATAAGTACTGGTTTCCGTGTCTTTTTGTCCTTAAATGCACAGCACATCACCTTGGGTGCGTTCCCCCAACCAGAATCTTGTTTCCATATGCCCCATTTTCAAGGACTTCTGATCCTGCTGGAACCTGACCCGATTCTCCTTCATGATGACAGTTATGTGGTGTTTCTTACCAACCATGTGGTTCACAAGGGCTTTTGTATGTGCCGGCAGTCACGGAAAATATGATAGCCCTCTCCTAATGATGGCAATAAATGTGTCGAAGACCTTGATAGCCATGCCACTGTCAACCTCGCCCTCAGGGTTGTAGCTTGTCTAAGAGCCAAAGTAAATAAGTAGATTTAGTATGTAGCCATTGGAGCTATCAACAAGTCCTAAGGACTTGATGTGATACTTGCGAGGTTTACTGGAGTTAAACTGTTTGTATTTCCGGCGCCCCTTGAGTCCAAATATCATTTAGTCTATCGAC